AAAGGAAGGCCTGAATGAGCCAATGCAGACCCAGCGTGAGGAGGCCAGCGCTATAAAGGAAGCAGCCAGCCTCATTCAACGCCAGATCTCTACTGCATTTTGTGCGTGGAAGTGCTGAAGCACTTGTGCGCCAGCCAGGAGGAGCAGCGCTGGAGGATGAAGATGTGCTAGGTGCAATGACTTGCTGATTTCTGCTGCCGAGTTTGTCTGCGAGGCTGTACACTAACCGTAGGGTTAGATTCACAATTTTGTTCGGCTGAGGGCTAACCGAGTGACTTGCCTGTTGGGAAATTCGCGAGGGACAGACCTGTAATTCTGAGGGACTACAGGCCCTAAACTAACCGAATCCCTACTACTACCCTGACTGCCTATAGCAGGCCCGGGCTACCCTAGGACAGACAGGCCCTAAGCGGCCTATACTGGTATACGGTCCTATAGCCTATAGCCGGGTCCGGTAGAGGCCGAGAGGCTGAGAAACAGCAACGGTACCGGTAGGTCCAGTCAGTCCAGTTTCGGTCTAGGCTAGTGTAGGAATCTATAAGGCTAGGAAGGAAACTGATAGTGGGACTTTTGGCTTTCATTTTTTGCATGCAGCGTTGGTGGCCAAGCAAGTTGAGCAGCGCTGAATGTCTGCAGTGGCACCGGAGACATCAGCCGTGAGTGGAGCAGCCATAGCCCGCCACCTGAGACAGCCAGAGTTGGGGCTGTACTCATCGCATCTATCCCCTGGGGGATATCTGCGTTGGCAGGACTATCTGGGAGGTCTTCACAGAGTAAATGTGGGTACTAGTGCTGCGGTAGCAGCCAGGCAGCCATAGCTGCCTTCTTCATCGTCAGAGGACTCATCGACACTGAAGACTACTTCGCTGTTCATGATCTGCATCTGGGTGTATGGCGCTGGCCTCTGGGAGGCTGTTTCTGTGCAGCGCTAGACTCTGATAGTGTAGTAGTGAGTAGAGTGTGTAGTTCTGGAGTGGCGAGATATTGAGTTGAACTCTGTAACGACAATTGAGGTTAACTGCGTTGAGTTGGCTCATCATCTGGGTTACTTTCCAATTGTGATCTTCGCAGTGTCACTCTGTGATTGGTTGTTGGGAGTTTATCAGAGAGAGAGAACACTGTGCGTATTCTCCCCATCTGTGCATGGTTGCTATTCCACTGTTTATCTCTGGTCTGCGTGCAGGTGGACTCTGTCTCTTCCTCCCCTTTCTCTCATGAATGTATGGGCGTGTGTGAGTGTCTCTGTGTGTGAGTGGCAATTGAATTGTCAAACAACCAAGTTCATAACATAGGAGAGGGAAGAAGACTGGGCGCTGGGAAGAGAAGCAGCCATAGCTGCCCAGCGAGTTAGTAGTAGACTTAGAGGGTTAGTAGTAGTCTTCTATGAGTAGCATTCAGAGTAGATCCTTGAGAGAAGAGANAGTAGACTTAGAGGGTTAGTAGTAGTCTTCTATGAGTAGCATTCAGAGTAGATCCTTGAGAGAAGAGAGTGTGCATGCGTAGTAGGAAGGAGAAACTGAGACAGAGGGTGTGCAAGCAAGGGTCGGCTATGGTGAATACTTACCTGAGTTGGATATGATCTGCAGAGGTGGCGCTAATGTGTAGAAGCCACATTGATGAGTTGGATGAGAGATTTGTATTGCACTGATGAGCGCCTGAACGCAGGGAGCTGTGACACTCTTTGTAATCATATTTTTGATAATATAAGCTGCGTAACTCGGTTCTCTTCTTTCCCCTTTGTCAAGTGTGTGAAGATTTCTGTTCGTTGTGTACGGAGATGATGCATGTCGTGAACATTCTTGCGTGAGTTGGTCTCCAGGACCCATGCAAAATTTGGTATCAGAGCGGATTGCTCGTTGCACTCATAGCGCTGGCATGATCAAGGCCGGCGAGGAGAAGCATCGAAGTGTGGTGATGGAGGATTAGTAGGAGGAAGGGAGGAGGAGAAGAAGAGTTTTGTTAGTAGGGGAAGCAGGCCGAAGAAAAAGGGGCGAGTGTACTTACCTGGAGCGTGCGGAGCGTTGAGGAGCATCATCGGCGGTATCTTCAACAAGAGAGAAGCACCTCCTGCCCCTAACCTGCATGCATGTGTGTGTCCCCTACCTTCTCTCTCTTCCCCTCTGAAGGTGACTGCTGCTGGTCTGGAGTCAAGTCTGGATCTGGATCACCATAACGTGTCAAAGTCTGAGTCGTCAGAGTCTGGGTGGTCCGAATGCAGTGTGTCAGGATCTGGTCACGTCAGATTGCAAGCATCAGGTAGTGCAAGTATGATGATGAGCATCCACGGGGCTAATTAAGCCAGAAAGAAAGAAAAATTTGAGCGAAGTACTATTGCCTGGTTGACTACATGTAACATCTGCATCTGACATTTTTGAAAGAAAAATTTGAGCGAAGTACTATTGTCTGGTTGACTACGCGTAACATCTGCATCTGACATTTTTGCGCTTTGACTCCATACCTGCATCCAAACAGCCAACGCAAGTTAGTCAAACAAATAAAGCATAGACGGGGAAGTACAACGAGCTATAGGGAACACATTGCAAGATTCTGATCCAGGAAAGCCAGACAGCAGAAGGAAAAAAAATAATGCAGAACAAGCAAACGTTGTATTAAGTTTGATTGAGTATTCATCGTGTGCAGCACCTTCCATAGTCAAAAAAAAAAAAAAAAAACGAAATCCAGTACTCCATTCGCCACAAGTCAAGACTGCATTAGTAAGCAAGTTTGAGTGGGATAGTGCCGTAGTGAACCGGCGGAGGATCCCCTGTGTCGATCATCATCATGGATGACTATCCCATCCAGGGCATGTTGGCCCTCTCTGTTCTGTTGGGACCCCTGTTCCGATTGATGTTCCCTCTGGGATTCGGACGCGTGTGTGCGTCCCGGGCGATACTGCGGTCTGGGACAGCAACATCTGGGCCCACACCTGCGGAACAGGCAGAAATTGACCGCAGGTTGGCAGAGAAGAAGAAAGAGAGAGAAGCTAAGAAGAAGCAGAAAGAAGAAGAAGCAAAAAGGAAGCTGAAGGAAAAGATGGAAAAAGAATTAGAAGAAGAACTGAAGAGTATCCAAGAAGAAGAAGAGGAAGACGAGCAGGAAGAAGGGGAGACTTTAGAAAGGCGTCGTCATCTCGACTTACCTGAGAGTAGTCATACCGCAGCAGACCGGCTGCCAGTCGAATCGCTGGACTGGGCTGGTCGGTACTCCTACACCAGCGAACCATCACGTGAATCTGAAGAAGAGCGAGATATATTCGTCGCAAGGCTGACCACTGTAACTGATTTAGCTGAACGAAATTTGATGTTGGAGGAGAAGAGGGCCGAACTGCATAACAAATTTCTAGCAGCCAAGAGGCAAGAATTGGAAGAGAAAAAAAGGTTGCAAGCAGAGGGGGAGAAGTTGCAGAAAGCATTAGAAGCTCAAAAAGATAAACCATCTGCAACAGACGAACAACTTGCCCTCCTTAGAGAGGTCGTCCTCAATACAAGGCAAGAAATGGCCTTAATGCATCAAACGCTACAAAAGGTAGAGACTCATCGGAGTGAGTTTGAAACTGTTTGGAATAA